ATACATTTAATGAGGCAAGTTTATAATAAAATTAAAATGATGCATCAAATGTTGATTAAAATAAGTAACAGTTATTCACTCTGTAAAGGACTGACCGTCTGGTATTAAAGATGGCCGCCGGAGCTCCACGTTGCTCCGGCAGCGTGACGTCACGGCGTGATATGGCTCCTCCTGACGCGTATCGTGCACACGCACATCTTCGGGGGGGGGGGGGGTGTGTGTCACCAATCACACCGTGCCGTTCACTTAAATAGGAGATGGTGCATGCGCGTTACGCAGTCACCATTTTGCAGAAGATCAGAACATAATGAGAGTGCCATGTGCCATGAGTGCCATGTTTCCATGGTTTTCAATGTGTATGGTCAGAATGACATCTAAATTACTGATTACATAAGGATAATATGTGAAAATATAATATACCATACTGGAGGTAATGTTATGTTAAAGGATCTAGAGGAATATTATAATGCAAGTGGTAAATAACGATATGTAAAAATGGTATAAGCATGACATATGAAATAAAAATATTAACGCCATGGAAAAATGTGGATAAAACCGGATTACAATAAATACAGTCATTACAAATAAACAATATGAGATTAAAAAAAAAAAAGACACATGATCCGTTAATAAGGGTAAAATCAAATATCCAAACATTAGTATAAAGAGAAAAAAAAAATTTTTAACCGGATAAACCCGAGATCGTTTTCAGAAGAGTTCCTACTCTTCAGAACAGAATAGCACCCAACATTATAGATCCCCCCACACACTCTACTTTCTTCTCACAAATGAAGGGATTTTACCCATGTAAAAAATGTGTAATTTGTCAGCAAAGTAAAATCAAAAACTTAAGAAGATTGAAACCTTCTCATCAACATGCACAGGACAAACATACGAGGTTTCTTCATTTATATCTTGCAACAGCAAACATGCAGTTTATCTCCTAGAATTTCCATGCAAAAGACAGTACATAGGTCACACAGTTAGGCGTCTGAGGGATCGATTTAGAGAACACGCATATAACATCAGAAAAGGCTTTAGGGAACATCCTTTATCCAAACATTTTCGATATCACCATAACCGTGACCCCTCAACACTTAAATTCATGGGCATAGAGATTGTTGCCAACCACTGGAGAGGGTCAAATAAGACCAGATTGGTCTCACAGGCTGAGACCAAGTGGATTTTTAACATGAGGACCTTAACCCCGGTTGATCATAATGTGGATATCGATTTAAATTGCTATATCGATAATAGCTAGAGCTTAGTCCTTACACACCTTTTAAAATGATGAGGAATTCCAACTTCAATGGATTGAGATGTGAAGTGAGTGTACATACCTTTTCAGTATTTTGTAATTTTGGAATATAACACTTGTGTTTTTAGATATTGGCTCATTCCCTGGATTTATATCCTATATTTTTACATTCCATATTTTTTTCTAAATTGGATATTATCAGTCGTGGTCCATTTTTATATTTGTATAAACCTCATGAAGGAAGTGCATACTTAAAGGATGCGTTTCAGACAAGGGTTTTTTACCTTGTAGATATAGATTATATGTTTTATATTGTTTTAATATGTCATCTGGCAGCCCAGACGGCATTAAATATTGATATTACACATTCTTTATAGTTTATATTTAATTGTTACATTTTATAACATAAGACGATTGTGACCCCTTTTTATTATATTGTTGTGACATATATGGTTTCCTTTATCGGATTTAGGAAACCGGGTGCCCATCTAACAAACACTATTATATGGAATCATTAGAAGCCGATTGAGCTATTTTTTCCGTTAGCTTTTTCTTTTAATACAGATGTATAGCCGTTAGTGCTGCTTTACTTTGGACTAAGGGAAAATGGCGCATGCGCAGTACGAGCGCGGATGGATGTGCATTTTCCCTTAAACTCCGTATCAATGGCGCATGTGCATGCGCAATGGACAAGTAACGACGGCATGCTTATAACGTTTATAGTGCATATAGAATATACATTGGCCTTGCATACAAGAATAAATGCTCAAATTGCCCGTCTTCATGTTAGCTGTAATGGCATATTTCCACACAGCCGTCTGTATTGCTTCCATCACTAAAAACTAAAGGAAAATGGCGCCCGCACATGCACAGTGTAACATTGGTATTTGGCAATACAGCATTATAGCTTATGACCAACGAAAAATGACGCCCGCGGGTTCGCGCATGTGCACTTGCGCCGAACTTCGGCAAAATGGCACCCAAACGTTTTTTCTTGGAGTTTTTTTCACATTTCTTGAGGTTAGAAATAGCAGAAATCAGACGTCAGGCTGCACACAGGCATACCCCTTTTGAGGATGAGCGCTGAGTTCGAAACGTGTTAAGGAGGAGCCCTTGCGAGCCGTTGACATCAAGCCATCAGATCACGGGGATCCGACAGCCACTGCATTACACCAGCTGGTCAGTTTTCTATGCGATTATCATTGTGACATTACTGCAATATTGTACGTTCATTTGACCTAATTTTTTAAATATTACCAATAGAGATGAGCGAATTATTCAAAAATTCGATTCGACTGATTCGTGAAAAAATTTCGATTCGAGTCGAATATATTCGCTGCGAATTTAACTTATAAAAGGGTGTTTCTAGGCTTCAGAGAGCCTTTATATTAGTGCAGAACACTGTACCTTTAATTTAAATGCCCTTGGAGTCTGCTGGGGAAGAGAACTAATACTGTCAGTCAGTATGACATGCAGATGAGTGCCGTCGATCTTAGAATCACCGCACACTTCACTCATTTGGGGCAGTCATGGGGCCAAAACCAGAGTGTGGAGCCACAGTGTGGCGGTGGAGGCAGCAGCAATGGGAGGCCATACAGCACCCTATGACAAAATGGAACCCACCAGCAGTGTGAGGAGACCTGAAAGTGGCACATGGCAGAGTGTGGCGATGGAGACAGCAGCAATGGGAGGCCGTACAGGGACCCATGACACACTGTGGACCTGGCAGCAGCATGAGGAGGCGGTACAGGGGCCCATGACAGATTACGGGCCTGGCAGCAGCATGAGGAGTTGGTACGGGGGCCCATGGCAGATTACGAGCCTGGCAGCAGCAATGGGAGGCCGTACAGGAACCCATGACACACTCTGGACCTGGCAGCAGCATGAGGAGGCGGTACAGGGGCCCATGACAGATTACGGGCCTGGCAGCAGCATGAGGAGTCGGTACGGGGGCCCATGACACACTCTGGACCTGGCAGCAGCATGAGGAGGCGGTACAGGGGCGCATGACAGATTACGAGCCTGGCAGCAGCAACTTGGACAGGAGGACGTTCAGCTTCTGCACCGTCGGGTGCGTGCTCGCAAACTGTTGTCTTTTAGAAACGGATTCCAAGAAAGACTGCTGACGGAATCCGTGAAGAGGAGTAGCAGGAGAAGGAGCATCTGAACGAGCGGAAGATGCCAACAAGTGACAACAGGGGCCCATGACAGATTACGGGCCTGGCAGCAGCATGAGGAGTCGGTACGGGGGCCCATGGCAGATTACAGGCCTGGCAGCAGTAATGGGAGGCCCGTAATCTGCCAGCACCCTATGACAAAAAAATGGAACCCACCAGCAGTGTGAGGAGACCTGAAAGTGGCACATGACAGAGTGTGGCGATGGAGACAGCAGCAATGGGAGGCCGTACAGGGACCCATGAGAGACTGTGGACCTGGCAGCAGCATGAGGAGGCGGTACTGGGGCCCATGGCAGATTACGGGCCTGGCAGCAGCAATGGGAGGCCCGTAATCTGCCAGCACCCTATGACAAAAAATGGAACCCTGGGCTGGGGCAGGCAGAACCGCCGTATCTTTATCACGGTTTTCCCAGGCCACCGAATGGCGACGCTGCATATGCTGCCGCAACGCTGTAGTCCCAACATGGGCCCCCTGGCCACGCTTGACTTTCTGGCCACATAGTCGACATACGGCTACGTTTACTTCCTCGGGCGGCTTGACGAAAAATTGCCACACACGCCGAGTAGGAAACTTTGCCCCCGCTACTCCTCACTGGCTGACTGCTACTTCCTCCGTGCACACCGGCACCACTACTGGCCATGGTGGTAGGCTGCAGTGGAGCTGGTGCTCTACTCCGTGGCCGTTTGCCTCCACTGACACTGCTGCGACCCTGCTGCATCCTGGCAGCAGCAATGGGAGGCCGTACAGGGACCCATGAGACACTGTGGACCTGGCAGCAGCATGAGGAGGCGGTACAGGGGCCCATGGCAGATTAGGGGCCTGGCAGCAGCGATGGGAGGCCCGTAATCTGCCAGCACCCTATGACAAAAAATGGAACACACCAGCAGTGTGAGGAGACCTGAAAGTGGCACATGGCATGAGACACTGTGGACCTGGCAGCAGCATGAGGAGGTGGTACAGGGGCCCATGGCAGATTAGGAGCCTGGCAGCAGCTATGGGAGGCCCGTAATCTGCCAGCACCCTATGACAAAAAATGGAACACACCAGCAGTGTGAGGAGACCTGAAAGTGGCACATGGCATGAGACACTGTGGACCTGGCAGCAGCATGAGGAGGCGGTACAGGGGCCCATGGCAGATTAGGGGCCTGGCAGCAGCTATGGGAGGCCCGTAATCTGCCAGCACCCTATGACAAAAAATGGAACACACCAGAAGTGTGAGGAGACCTGAAAGTGGCACATGGCATGAGACACTGTGGACCTGGCAGCAGCATGAGGAGGCGGTACAGGGGCCCATGGCAGATTAGGGGCCTGGCAGCAGCAATGGGAGGCCCGTAATCTGCCAGCACCCTATACAAAAAATGGAACACACCAGCAGTGTGTGAGGAGACCTGAAAGTGGCACATGGCAGAGTGTGGCGATGGAGACAGCAGCAATGGGAGGCCGTACAGGGACCCATGACACACTCTGGACCTGGCAGCAGCATGAGAAGGCGGTACAGGGGCCCATGGCAGATAGGGGCCTGGCAGCAGCTATGGGAGGCCCGTAATCTGCCAGCACCCTATGACAAAAAATGGAACACACCAGCAGTGTGAGGAGACCTGAAAGTGGCACATGGCAGAGTGTGGCGATGGAGACAGCAGCAATGGGAGGCCGTACAGGGACCCATGAGACACTGTGGACCTGGCAGCAGCATGAGGAGGCGGTACAGGGGCCCATGGCAGATTAGGGGCCTGGCAGCAGCTATGGGAGGCCCGTAATCTGCCAGCACCCTATGACAAAAAATGGAACACACCAGCAGTGTGAGGAGACCTGAAAGTGGCACATGGCATGAGACACTGTGGACCTGGCAGCAGCATGAGGAGGCGGTACAGGGGCCCATGGCAGATTAGGGGCCTGGCAGCAGCTATGGGAGGCCCGTAATCTGCCAGCACCCTATGACAAAAAATGGAAAACACCAGCAGTGTGTGAGGAGACCTGAAAGTGGCACATGGCAGAGTGTGGCGATGGAGACAGCAGCAATGGGAGGCCGTACAGGGACCCATGACACACTCTGGACCTGGCAGCAGCATGAGGAGGCGGTACAGGGGCCCATGGCAGATTAGGGGCCTGGCAGCAGCTATGGAGGCCCGTAATCTGCCAGCACCCTATGACAAAAAAAGGAACACACCAGCAGTGTGAGGAGACCTGAAAGTGGCACATGGCAGAGTGTGGCGATGGAGACAGCAGCAATGAGAGCCGTACAGGGACCCATGAGACACTGTGGACCTGGCAGCAGCATGAGGAGGCGGTACAGGGGCCCATGGCAGATTAGGGGCCTGGCAGCAGCTATGGGAGGCCCGTAATCTGCCAGCACCCTATGACAAAAAATGGAACACACCAGCAGTGTGAGGAGACCTGAAAGTGGCACATGTTTGGGGCATGATTCATGGCGGATTTAATCAGTTGTGTCAGGAACTGGTGGTTTGAAATCCAGACTAATCCACGCCCGATTCATTTTCACAAACGTGAGTCTCTCCACACTTTGGGTGGACAGTCATGTGCTCCGCGGAGTTACAATACCTCCTGCCGCACTAAACACGCGCTCCGATGCCACGCTACTGGCCGGGCATGACAGCCTTTCAAGGGCAAATTCAGCTAGTTGGGGCCAAAGGTCAAGTTTCGTTGCCCAGTAGTCAAGGGGAATTGTCTACCTCGGTTGGCAGGGTGCTGTCCAAGTAGGCCCAAGCCTGTTGTTTGAGGTCCTGCTCCAGGTCCACCTGATGCTGCTGCTGCTGGACGTTGGCGCACAAAGGCAGAGACCAACTGACTACAGAGGTGGTTTTTATAGTACGTTATTTTGGCCTCCCTCTCAGCAGGGTGTGAAAAAGGCCACCATTTTTGAACAGTAGCGAGGGTCCAACAAGGTGGACAGCCAAAAGTCATCCCTCTGTCTGATGGTTATTATTCGGCTGTCGCTACGCAAGCAACCGAGCATGCTATGGGCCATTTGTGCCAAGGAATGCGAGGGACTCCCTGCCTCCATCTCCACAGCATACTGCCACGGTGCGTCTGGGTCCTCTGTCTCCTCCTCCTCTACCAGATGCTCCTGCTCCTCCACTCCTGTCCGCTGAGTGGAAAAACCACCCATTTCACTCAATAATTTCCTGAGCACAAATGTCCTCCTCTACCTCCTCCTCTTCTTCCTGTCCTGCCCCCACAGGGGTCATGTGGCGTTGAGAACTGTGCGCCACGTCTACCGCACCCTGACCAGCCATTGTTAACAGCATTTGTTCCAGGACGTGCAACAGAGGAATGACGTCGTTCATCCCCATAGTCCTGCCGACTCACGAATAGAGTGGCCTCCTCAAAGGGCCTGAGCAAGCGGCAGGTGTCACGCATGAGCTGCCAATGGCTGACATCGAAGTTACACAGGGGAGTACCTTTATCCGCTTGTAACATCAGGAAATCGGTGATGGCCTTTCGCTGTTCGTAAAGGCGGTCTAACATGTGTAGGGTTTGAATTCCACCTTGTTGCAAACGTCGCAGATCAGGCGATGCTGTGGAATTCCGTTCTGCCGCTGCAGCTCAAGGAGGGTGTGCTTTGCGGTGTAGGAATGGCTGAAATGCATGCAAAGTTTACGTGACATTTTAAGGATGTCTTGCAGTGGGATGGTGGATTTTAGGAACCGCTTGACAACCAGATTGAACACGTGAGCCATGCATGGCGCATGGCACAACCTTCCTTGACGCAGAGCAGACACCATGTTCTTTCCGTTGTCGGTCAACATGGTTCCGATTTTCAGTTTGCGCGGAGACAGCCATCTGTCGATTTCTCTGTTCATTACACTGAGAAGTTCCTCCCCTGTGTGACTACGTTCGCCAAGGCATACCAGGTGCAGCACAGCGTGACACCGTTGCGCCCTGCACATGTGATATGCCGGTCGGGTAATGGGACTTGGCACGGGGGTGGCGGCTGAGGACAGGAAGGAAGAAGAGGTGGTAGAGGCGGACATCTTTTGTGGACCAAGGACGTGCAAACGTGGAGGCAAAAGCGGCGTGACCTGTCCAAGTTGCTGGTGCGGCTGTGACGGCACCATGTTCACCCAGTGGGCCGTAAATGACATGTACTGTCCCTGACCGTAGTTACAGCTCCACACGTCGGCGCTGTCGTGCACTTTGGCAGAGACCGACATGCTCAAAGACTGGCCCACCATCTCTTCTACATGTGAATGCAGGGCTGGCACTGCCTTTTTGGCGAAGAAATGACGGCTTGGCATTCTCCACCGCGGCGCGGCACAAGCCATCATTTCTCGGAAAGGTGCTGAGTCCACCACTTGGAAAGGGAGGGACTGCAGCACCAGCAACTTGGACAGGAGGACGTTCAGCTTTTGCACCGTCGGGGTGCGTGCTCGCAAACTGTTGTCTCTTGGAAACGGATTCCAAGAAAGACTGCTGACGGAATCCGTGAAGAGGAGTAGCAGGAGAAGGAGCATCTGAACGAGCGGAAGATGCCAACGAGCGACAACTCCCCTCAGCAGAGGTGTTGGAGCCTTGTCTGGCTGATAGAGGGCGATTGACGTCGGGTGACGGAGCAAGTAACGGAGCGGGTGATGGAGCGGGGGCTGGGGCAGGCAGAACCGCCGTATCTTTATCACGGTTTTCCGAGGCCACCAAATGGCGACGCTGCATATGCTGCCGCAACGCTGTAGTCCCAACATGGGCCCCCTGGCCACGCTTGACTTTCTGGCCACATAGTCGACATACGGCTACGTTTACTTCCTCGGGCGGCTTTGACGAAAAATTGCCACACCGCCGAGTAGGAAACTTTGCCCCCGATACTCCTCACTGGCTGACTGCTACTTCCTCCGTGCACACCGGCACCACTACTGGCCGTGGTGGTAGGCTGCAGTGGAGCTGGTGCTCTACTCCGTGGCCGTTTGCCTCCACTGACACTGCTGCGACCCTGCTGCCTCCTGGGCAACCCACCGACTGTTTTGCTCGCTGCCAAGCTGCCACCCTCTTCTCCTGATGATGCGGAAGCAATAGCCTGATGACGACGAGGCTGCCAAGTGCGATCAGCCTCATAATCATCAATTAGGGTCTCCGCCTCACTACTAGCCCCCTCGGCTGCGTGTGGGTCAGGAGACAGACCTGTCTCTAGACCGGCTACCGAGCCACTCTCCTCGCCACTACTTCTTCGCCTGGCTGCTGAAGAGGCGGATGTCTCCCCCCCGTTCCTGACCGCCCTCTGTTAGCTCTTCCTCACTGTACAGTGGGGCTGAGCCCACAGCATGCGATACTTCGCTTGGTGAGGGAACACCAAAGGACAGGGGCAGGTCGAGGACAGGTGATTTCAGTGGGCTTGCTCCCGGGCCATGCCAACTAACGGTTGTGTCTGACGTACCCACCGACCGTTGGCTGTAGGTGTCAGAGGTGACCTGGGAAGAGGAATACGACCGAGCCAACCAATCGATGACGGCAGGGTTGTAGGTGGAGACACGACCGCTGGATGACACCGGGAGCAATGGCCTCTGGCTGCGACTAGTGCTGCCTCGACCCCTTCCTCTGCTGCCACGTCTGCTCGCTCCTAAAACATTGCCTCCTCTGCCACTCCTCTGCATGTTGTCTGACATACTCTTTAATTAAACAATTCTGTGTCCCTCAGTAACAATTCTGTGTCTGTCCCTCAGTAACAATTCTTTGTCCGTCCCTCAGTAACAATTCTGTGTCCCTCAGTAACAATTCTGTGTCCGGCCCTCAGTAACGTTTCTGTGGCCCTCAGTAACGTTTCTGTGGCCCTCAGTAACGTTTCTGTGGCCCTCAGTAACGTTTCTGTGGCCCTCAGTAACGTTTCTGTGGCCCTCAGTAACGTTTCTGTGGCCCTCAGTAACGTTTCTGTGGCCCTCAGTAACGTTTCTGTGGCCCTAACTCTCTCCCTCAATACAGCCAGGTCTGCCTCTGTTGAATGACTGGAGGCAAATGGAGAATTCTAAAATGGCCGCCATTTATAGCTCGACCATTACACAGTGCTGGCTGGCTGGCTGCTGATTGGCTAATGCGATCACATGTCATGAATGAATGCATTATGGGTCAGCGCGCCTTGTCTGCGTGCCTTCCCAGACATCCCCGCTCCGTCGCCGCACATGTCGCCGCCATTTTAGGAAAAATTTCGATTCGCGCATCCGAAGTATGCTAATTTTCGGATTCGTCGCGAATCGAAATTTTCCTAATATTCGAAACGAATTCCACTTCGCCTAGTTCGATTCGCTCATCTCTAATTACCAACAATAAAGTACATGGAATACTACACTATGTGCTTATCCCTAATTTTTGCTCTGCATTGAGCATCTTAAATCCCCTAGCGCTACCTCCAGTGAATGTACCAGCGTCCTGAAGAGGCCGAACTACTTTCATTGGCCACCATATCCTGGCACCTAAGGGAGACCATCTACCCCCAGGCTACTTCCCGGACTACCCCTATGGGAACCGTGAATGACCAGGATTTTATGATACAACGCGCTTTTTATTAGCGCATCTGGTGAGTGCGCATTTCATATATTTATTGGCACACCCACCTGAGGAAAAAGCACACTGGGATTTAATTGAATCACTTGGCGATTACATCTGAATTTAAGAATTTATGGACTTTGTACAATCCTCACGCATGTTGTGATTATGCATTTTATGTGGACACTTGCACCTTTATTCACCTATTTATATACCTATTTCTATACTAGAATTACCATTTCAGTATATATTATGAGCTAAACGCATTACCTACATGCGTGTATGTCATTGTGATTGGTCATTTCTACATATTTCCTTAGCGCTGCACCAACATTAATTTACAGATCTATTTTGAAGGCATATGGTTTACCTTTTAGTGTGTTCAGCTGCTTTTATTTGATCCCATTTCTATTAGCGCTCGGTTCATTTTCCAGTATTTTAAATACTATAATACACCGATTTGGATTACTTCTACCAAACAAATGTAGCTGAATACATTTTTGCCTAATCAGTGGCGATACTACATAAAGAAAGAAAGCTCTACCTCAAAAAAATGATCATTCTTACACATTTGGGTACAGTGTT